ATCTTCCCGGACCAGGGCTCGAACCTGTGTGCCCTGCATTGGCAGGTGGATTCTTAACCACTGTGCCACAAGGGAAGCCCTGTTCATTTTTTTTTTTTAATGTGCAGTATTCTGTGGTATATGTAAACTATAACCAATCCATTCGACTACTGATGGACAATGGGTTTGTTTCCAGTTTTTAGCAATGATGAATAGAGCTATAAATATTCTTGTGTATGTCTTTTGGTACACATAGGCATTCATTTCTCTTGGGTAAATGAAAGGAATGGAATTGCTAGGTCATAGGGTGAATGTATGTTTAATTTAATTAGAAACTACCAAACTATTTTACAAAATAGTTGAACAGATTTACACTCCCATCAGTAGTGTATTGAATTCCAGTTCCTCCAAATTCTTATGAGCATTTGATATTGTCAGTCTTTTCAATTTCAGCCATCCTGATGCAATGAACTTGAGTTTTCATTTGCTGGTTATTTACAATGTATGAACTTATTAATAATTCCTTATCCAATGTGGTCCTCCATCTCAGCAAATTGTTCAATGTGATAAATATGCTTCTAGTCAAAACCTCTCTATTAGGCAGTCAGAACTGGTGCAGAAGGAGCCTTGGATTCAGAGATGACATGGTAGAAACTCCAAATTTCTAGCAAGTAAATTAAACATAAATGCAAGTATCAAAAAGATAAAGTAAATAGAAAGCCAGTTAAAATAATGAACAATGTGGGCTTCCCTGGTGGCGCAGTGGTTGAGAGTCCGCCTGCCGATGCAGGGGACACGGGTTCGTGCCCTGGTCTGGGAGGATCCCACATGCCGCGGAGCGGCTGGGCCCGTGAGCCATGGCCGCTGAGCCTGCGCGTCCGGAGCCTGTGCTTTGCAACGGGAGAGGCCACAGCAGTGAGAGGCCCGCGCGCCGCAAAAAACAAACAAACAAAAATAATGAACAATGTAACTCTGTCTTATCCCCACACTTTTAAGTAGAAAATTCGGTTAACAAATATTCTTTAAACAGAAGAAGAATCTGATAACATATGTCGTATTTAACAGATATATATTAGCTACCTCTGTGAGCTTGATATAATACCAGAAACTTTTCGATAATTTTGTTCAGTTCTCAAAACCCTCACAAAATTGGTATTATCTCCATTATACAACTTGGGAAAGCAGAAGAGATTGCTGAGGATGCCATCCTGCTTCGCCTTGGTTCTGCCACAGCCCTCGCCCACAACCCTCATCCAACGCCTGAGCTGCTGCTTTTTCAATTCTCTTAAAGAACAGCTATTCTTTCCCTACTAGATAACATCCAATGGCTCACCCTGTCCACCAAATGAAGTCCAAGTTCTTACCCATGCTCATGATTTCTTTTCCTGCCCTTCCCCGACCGCAGTTAGAGTTTGCCCTAACTACGTTTCCATGTTTATCTCCCATTGCTCCCCTCCATAAATCTGACACTTAAATCAAGACAAAGCTATTCTATACACGATGCTTTGCTTGAAGCTAACTCTGCCCCCAGACCACTGTTTACTCCAACTTCTGCTGTCATAATATCTTTTGACAGTTTAAAGTTCAAATGATACCTCCTTTGTGAAGTTGTCTCTGATTTGTCATTGCCCATAGAACTTTACTGCATTAGGGGATAAAAATTAAAAGCCAGCATAACAGAAGTCTGAGCTGAGCCTACTGGGAATGCCAACTTCTCTGGACCTGTCTGATGAGTGGGGAGCCTCCCACAAGCATGACTCACGTTGCAGGAGAAAGGGGGCCTGTGATGAAGACGTTTCGGAGGTTCCTAGGAGCCGAGAATAAGAAATGGAGAGCATAGCGCGAAGCCTGTCTCGCAGACTGGTTCCAGACAGGCTGGTGTCTAGACCCTATGGAGAAAGGAGATGTTAAACGAAAGCTAAAAGGAACTGTTTTCACAAGAAAATCTTTATAGAGACATGGGGGCACAAACAATCTTGGACCTGTTTGCAATCCAAACAGAGTGTCATGCAAAGACAAAATGAGGGTTAGGCACTCTTCCTTGCTTACCACCGTCTAACTTTGGCATCTCACATGCTCCAGCATCCTTGCTGCAGTGGGAGCTCATAGATTTGAACAGAACAGCAGGAAGCCCTGTGGGAGGGGACTTGTTTGTGAACTCATATGAATTCCCAGAATCCAAGGGAAGCCCTAGAAATGCTTGAAGAACACTTTACAGATGGCCAAGACTCTGGGGCAAAAGTATGTAGAACTTGGATTATTATTTTTGGTTCAATTTCATTCATGTGCATGGATGGGTAAGACCTGGAAAAACTTCGGTTATGCCTACTTTCATTTATGACTTGAAATGGTTTAAAACTTATCTTCATGTAAGTATCTGATTTGATCCTCATATGAGGTGGATACTATGATCACCAGATTTTTCTGATATCAATGTATTGAGCACAGTGTTGATTGTGGAAAGAGTCCAGAACTTTTGTCAGTGGGCCTCATTTTGAGCTCTTACTCTTTTGCCTATGGTGGAGTGATCCTGGATAAACCCAACCTCTCTGAGCTTCAATTTCTTACCTGCAGGAAAGGAATACCAGCCCCTTTTGCACGGAGATGCCGTGAAACTCTGGGATGAATAATAACTCCTGTACCATCGTGAGAAACTATTAGGGCACGTGACCTTCTACCAACTGCATTCATCTTCTGCCATAAATCAGTTGTTCCTATCCATGCATCTCAATAGACTGAAAATAATGAAAGGAGTGTAGTCATGCCTTACTCCTCTTTGTGTCATCTTGTCCTGCAACTCAACCTGATGGTGTGGAATGCCTCGGGCTGATGAGTTTCTCATCGTTAGTTGGAGTGTGGTAGAGAGGATTCATGCGTCAGAACTGCTTGGACTAGACACCAATCCGGAGAGCCTAAGATCATTTATTAAAGTCGTCAGATATACAACAGATACAGATATAACACCTCAAATCAAGTTTCCCAGGAACATAATTCATGGCTAAAACTGACATAACATTAGCCACTGAAAGAGAGCAGGGAGTGGCAAACTTTTTCCATGAAGGGCCAGATAGTAAACATTTTAGGTTTTGCAGGTCATAGAGTCTATCGTGCCAACTACTCAACTCAGCCATTATATCATGACAGTAGCCATAGATAATATCTAGACAAACGGGAGTGCCTGTGTTCCAACAAATTGCATTTTAAAAAACAGGTAGTGGGCCACATTTGGCCTGTGGGCTACAGGTAGCCAACTCCTGAAACAGAGGTTTGTCCTGTTGCCAGGGAGGATTTACTAACACAAGAAGCTGAAAATAAAACAAGGTGGTGACATAGAATAGAAAAGCTGAAATCAATGAGTAAAAGTAAACTTCTCTGTTAAGACTGAAAAACTAAAATGACCAAGGGCATAACTGGAGAGAGAAGAGGTTTCACGTAAAAAATGCCTGCTGAATTGGATGAAAACAAATTTTATTCTAAAGAAGTTCAGAAAGGTAGAAAGAAGACGCTGGGGTTTCAGTTACCTGAAAACTACTATAAGCCAAATGGTGTGGTGTGACTTCCTAGAAAATCCAACGTGCTCTATCTAGTTCCCATTAATGAAAACAGAACATCCAGAAAAAACTAGGTGATAGTCCCAGGGGAGCAGGGTGGAGTCTGCTTGAGTCACCACTGGATCCCACGCACCTACCCCAGTGCTCGATACCCAGGAGGTGCTCACTGGGCAGTAATCATTCCCATGCTCTGCTCTGGGTGGGGCAGTCGGATATTTGAGTGTCTGGTCTGTGCAGTCTCTGTGCTGAATTCAAATGTGACAAACTGGTGTTTGAGCTGAGAGCTGAAAGGCAGTATCCAGGCAAGGAGGGAGAACAGTGGTTGGGGGTAAGAGTACCTGAAATGGGGGCAGCACCAGGATCTATTCTGATTCTCTGATGGGGCTCAATCCCATTCTCTTTCCTTTCAATATTCAATTAAAATACGGGTTTCTGGAAATAACGGCGGGGGTGGGGGGAGCATCACACTTCAATGTTCAGAAATCTTAACATTAGCTTTGCTTTTGGAAAAATTTGCTCCCTTACCTGAGAGAGAAGAAATAAATGCTCTGACCTGTTTAAAAAGACATTTGGAGTATTTCAAATGAGGCTACAAAGGGAGATGAAATCAAGGAACCCATAGGCCTGCGGTGCGAGTTCTCATAGCCACCAAAAATCCCCTTGCAAAGGAACTCATTATGTTTGGAGAGGACGTGTGTGCCTGATAAAATAATTAAAAATAAATTGCTAGCCTTGGAAATGCAAATTAATGAGTGTTAAAGCAACCCTGTTGATCACATAGATAATAAATAGATGTGTTTTCTCAAGTCTGTTAGGTGGCACTGATTGATTTCCAATTCTGGCTACAACAGGGCCTAAGCTGCTTTTGAAACAAAGGTGAGGGGACCCCAGGCCCAGTGGGGACAGTTGTTATCTCCTAGGGGACAGTGGTTGGAAGCCTTCGGCCATGACACTCCCCATGCCCCTCCTCCTGACTTTTCCTGGCTAAGAATAGAGGATGCTAAATTACTATTCCCCCTGAACTCCTAGCCCCTGCCGGAGCAGGACGGGACAGTGGCACTGTTAACTCCTCTGCCCTCAGATAACTGACGCAGCCACCTTTCCTGCTACCTGGTGCTGTCAGGTCAAGGCTTTGGCTAAGAATAGCCAGGAGCCAGATGGAACTTTGGGTGTGGGGAGGAAAAGGAGATATGAGGCCTTGGGGAGCTGACTGGAGCACTGTTGCAAAATTTTTTTAAAAAGTTTTTCCTGGGCTTCCCTGGTGGTGCAGTGGTTGAGAGTCCGCCTGCCGTTGCAGGGGACACGGGTTCGTGCCCCGGTCTGGGAAGATCCCACATGCCGTGGAGCGGCTGGGCCCGTGAGCCACGGCCGCTGAGCCTGCGCGTCTGGAGCCTGTGCTCCGCAACGGGAGGGGCCACAACAGTGAGAGGCCCGTGTACTGCAAAAAAAAAAAAAAAAGTTTTTCCTTAGCAATGACTTAATAAGTCTTATGGAGAAAAGAAAGAAAAAAAAAAAAGGAAAGAAAGTCTGGCTACAAAATACCTTATCCTTTCACTAAAGAACCGATACTGATGAAGCACCTACTATGCAGAGCTTGCTCGTCAGTGGCATTTATAGATGGGATGGAGATGGAGTGGAGGAGAAAATGGGATTTCTGCCTTGAAGGAAGCCACAGTCTGATTGGGAGGCAAATTTGATGTGAATGAAGGGCATAGTCCCAACCCCGTTTCCTTGCTGGCATCAGGTCCTTTCCTACGTGTCTTATCTGGAGGCAAAAGGTTACCTGGAGCCAGTGTGTGGCTCCAACACTGAGTGTTGTCCAGGGAATCAGTGACATAAGAGAGGGGAGCATCGCCCTGGGCTCTGCCGTGGGATCTCATTTAATCCCCAGCAGCTGCGTGAGGGAGGTACTCCTCTCCTTACAGATCTATGGACGCAGAACCTAAGCCCTGTGAGGTGTGGCAAGCGGAAGACGGTGTAACGGAGTCACCTAGCTCCTGTGGGGGATGCGATGGGTAGATGAGGTGACACGTGAAGAAACACTTAACGGTTTCTGGCACCACATACGCGCTCAATAAATGTTCCCTCTGAGTCCTAGGTACCTCGCCCCAGGCCGCAGACTCAGAGGAGGACAGAGGCAGGGGGCACTCCTCTCCTGGTCAGTCCAGTTTCAAAGTCCGCACTCTTTCCACAGGGCTGCAGGCGCCTCTCGGGATTCAACTGTCTTCACCGTCCTCTTCCAATCTGTGTGCGGCCCTGCTTCCAGCCCTTTTCAGGTCCACCCAGAGGGCCTTTTCTTTCTGTATGCTTAGGCTCAGAGTTGACAACTTCCTGGCCTTGCAGTACAGGCAGAGGAGGGAAATGAACAGAAGGATGAGCATAAGGAAGGGGCAGATGAAGAGGAAATAGAGTAAAGGTGCTGACGAGCAGATCCTGGAAGGAAACGTGGGCTCTGCAACAAAAAGGAAGAAAATGAAGAGAATAATTAGTCTCCAGCTTATTTGTACTCATCAGTTATAAACACTTCTGGGATTTATTGTTACAGGAAAATATATGTAAGAATAACGGGGCCAAATGGCAGTGTGCCCCTTAAATCACATGCGAGGAGCAAAGGGAAGGGAGCTGGGAGAAGAGAGCTCCAGGATGGCCGGGTCCAGCCTGACTCCCCCTCACCCAACAATTTCCAACCACCAGAGGTTCCCATGACCTACTTAAAACGAACAGCCAGAAAGAAAAACAAAACAGAAAAGAAAACCTCTCCTTTAATCTTCTTTCCTCAGAAAAGATATCTATAATTCAACCCTCGTTCCCAACTCTGTTGCCGGTCCTGAATTTTTAACTGAGTTATTCCCACTGCTGCTTCTGAAAACACACACAGACACACACGCACGCGCACGCGCACACGCATGCTCTGCACTGTCCTGATAAGAACAACAGCAGCTACAAGTAAGAAGCACCAACCCTTCCTGAATCTCCAAACTGGTCTCACACTCCCCCACCCCCATTCAGCTCCTTTCCCCTCTTGCTCTTACCATCACCTCTACCTGGCGTGCTCACTGCACCGTATCCTCGAGGTCCTACTGGCCTCACTCTCCATCACTCCAGCCTTCCACCTCTCCTCAGGCAGTTTTCCTCTTCTTTCTATCCTCTTCTCACACATGCCTTTGTTTAGACCTCTTTCATCCCCTTTTAACCATCTTTGTCATCACAGTTACTTGAGTAGCTCTGACAGTGTCCTTTGTTTCTATAGTCCTTGCAGTGCCTAGCACATGTGCCTGATAACGTTTGCTGATCTGAATTAAACTGGATTCACTGCAACCACATGGGCAAAGGCTACTATATAAAGGCATGCTGAAGCATCTGGCAGCTGCAGTCCGAGGGGAAGTGCTATCAACACATGGACACACAGAGCACGCACCAGCAGCCCCCGAGGGGTTCCTGGCCACACAGCCAGGGAAGCAAAGGCGAGAGAACTGCCAATGCCACAGGCTCCAGGAAGCAGTGCCTCAGGTTACTAGTCAAAGGACAGGGATTCAGTCTCTCGATGCACAAAGACATATGCTTAAAGAGACACCAACTATTAAATGTAGTCTTCTGACTACATTTATTTATGACAGGATATTCAAAACCAGGGCTGTTCTGAAAAGTCTGATGCTAATAGTAGCTGTGCTTTTATTGGAAAACTGTAATGACCTAAGCACTTTCTTCTTCAGAGGTTAAGCTGTAGTATTCATGGGATTACAGACGCTTAGAGATGAAGATGACAGGTTTAGAGGTCATTGCGACCAACCTCATGCTGCAAGAATTCCATTTTTTTTCGGCATTGCAGATACATTTTGCACACTGAAGGACATCTCTTTGTGGGAGGTTAAGAAAGAATCTAAACCTGTGTCCAGCTCCTTCATTGTAAACTCCGGGAGGAGAGGGCCTATGTCTTACGTATCTTTTCCCCTTGTGCAGCACTTTGCTCATAGGTCATCAATGGAGACTAAAGAATGAGTCAATTGTGTGAGTGATTTGCGCACACAGGAACCCAGGAGTAGCTGTCATCATGTTACCCAGAGTAAAGACCATCACTGAACATTAGCCTGGCAGCTCTGAACAGGGCTGGCAAGGAGCTACAGGGGTTTGTTGCCTGGTTCTTCTCTGGTCTCATTTACATTCTCCACCCTAGATTTGGTTTTTGTTTTTGAAAGGGTGGGCAATGATCAAGATAGATTTTGAATTCTTTCTCATCTCCTCTCCACATCCTACCTGACCCTTCTCTCCAAGGCCCTGGCTTGACTACAATATTTCTCCCAGGTCTTACCTGAATACATTTGAAAGCGTATGGTTAAGAAGGAGGTACAGACTGAAATGCTGAAAGAGAATAGAGCTGGAGAGTGGGTAAGAGGTCTGGCCTTGCTACTTCACACTACTCCTGTGCAGAGTAGGGATTGAGCACCTACTATGTCTCAAAGAGAGCTGGGTTCAAATCCTGGCTCTACAACTAACTGCTATTGACTTTGGACAAATTACTTTTCCTCTCTCTCTAATCATTAGTTTCCTAGTCAATCAAGCGAGGATAATAATTTCTAGAGTTGTGATGAGATAATGCTTAATAAAGCATGAAACAGTGCCTAGCACATTTGTTGAGTCAGCAAGAAATAAATATCAGCTAGAAAGCTACTAAGAAAGTTAGGAAAATCATAGGCAACTTTTTCCCAAGAGACCAGGCAGAAAAGAGGGCTGAACCTGATGATTCCTCACTCAGGGACCGCAGACTTGGCCGTGTCCTTCCACAGCCCACGTCTCTCCCTTGACTCTCTGATCTCTCTGTCCCCTGGGTGGGTGGGTGACATTCAGCTGAGAGTCAAATGATTACTTGGGAGACTCTGGCTTCCTGTTCCAATCATGAGAGGCAGAGAACCGGGAGGTAAGAGTCCGCGGCACCCATGGGTCACCATTGCTAGGATGGTGGTGTGATGTTGGGGGGGATGGGGCCGGCACACAGAAGGTGGAAAGAAACCTGGCGCTTGGATTTTCTGCCACTGAGACTCTAACCTTCCGTGTGAAGGGACTGCCAGAGGGCTTGACTATCTAAATGGGGCTGGGCTTCGAGCAATCTGCCATCCAAGGACGACAAAGTGCGCCCTTCGCAGTGCCGAATTGGCCAACAGCTAGAAACTGTCAGTGCTTCTAAATTACCTCTCCTGGGAGGGCGGTGTTTGCTCTGGATCCCACAGTCACCATTCCCACCATCTGCCTCTCACCCGTATCTGGATCAGCATTAGTGACATTCAAAACCATTAAGGTTTGGCATTTTGAAGCAATCTGAGTAAGTGCTCAGTGCTCCAAGTACAAGGTCTGTAAGGAAGAGCCAGAAGTATAATGAGAACACTGCATCACAAGGTTTAGTTTGTAACTTGCTTCTACCCCCAGCCAAACACGTCGTGAGGAGCATTCCTTTCCGATATTACCCCAGAAATACCGACTTTAGGAGAAGAAAGGTGGAGGAGGATGAGGGGGCTACCAACGCGCCCCCAACCCCAGACTTGGGCAGCTGACGTGCCAGGTGTGGCCGTGTGGGAGGGGTGGCTCCTGCCAAGAACTGAAAGCAGGATTAGGTAACCTGATACAAGCGCATCCCAGAGTAAGTGAGCCCCTTACAGCATCAGTTTCAACTCCATTGAAGAGTCGCTTGCTCATTTTTCATCAAGCATTTGTTGAACCGAGCGCTATGTGCCAGGCCTTGTTGGAAGCACTGGGGTAGCGTTGATAAAATAGCATGTTCTCTCCAGAAACATCAGTGTGATAGGGGCATATCTCCTTTGAGAATCCACTTTCTAAATATATCCTTACCCCCCAAAAGCTGGGAAATAGTGACAAATACCATTCTATTACAAATAATCCAGTCCCCAGAAAACTTTACAGCCTTGCCTATTAATCACAGAGAATTCTCTAGAATGAGATACAAAAAGACTCAAGGAGCTGTAGCCCCCGCTTTGGCTTCGTCACAGCTAAGGAAGTAAGATGGAGAGGAAAAATGCAAGGTGCGTTCCACCAGGGAAATACCTCTCAACTTTTCTGCCTTCACAGGATCTATATGCTTCACAGTTCTATCAAGTAGTCCTAAACTAACCCAACCCAGAAGTGCCAAATAAAGGTGGTAGAAAACCATTTGAGAAGTGAGAGTTGGTAGCCTATTGTATTTCAACTGGACTTTATTCATACACAGGCTGGTCCTGGCCAGGAGGGCAGCTACACGGATTCAGTATTTGAGTTTCTGTGCCCAGCACTGTGCTAGTGCTGAGAACAAGACATTCAGTCTTTGCCTTCTCAGAAGGTATTGTGTGGCACTGATGATGGATGTTAAACAGGTGGGATGACTAAGAAAATAAGCTAAGTCACCGAGAAAGTGGCAGTTCAGTTGGTTGGTGAACGATTAGTAGGTGTGGATCTGGGACAGGTACCAGGAAGGAGCATTCCAATCAGGAGGTGGTATAAGTTCACTCAAGATGTTGGACTGGGCTTCCCTGGTGGCACAGTGGTTGAGAGTCCGCCTGCCGATGCAGGGGACGCGGGTTCGTGCCCCGGTCCGGGAGGATCCCACATGCCGCGGAGCGGCTGGGCCCGTGAGCCATGGCCGCTGAGCCTGTGCGTCTCGAGCCTGTGCTCCGCAATGGGAGAGGCCACAGCAGTGAGAGGCCCGCGTACCGCAAAAGAAAAAAAGATGTTGGACTGTCAGTCATATCCATTCTCTTCTAATCTTCCTCTTCTTCCTCTCTACTGGCTCTTTTCTCTCTAGATGTAACAGTGCTCAAGTCCCTACCATCTTCAAACCAAAACAAAACAAAGCAAAGCTTCACTGCACCTCTTGCCATTTGCTCTTGTCTTCTCTCTTTCCGTTTACATCAAAGCTCTTGAAAGCATGAACTGGATTTGATGCGCCCACTTTCTCCCTGCAGTCTGACTTTTCTCACTATTTTTCTGTAACTGCCCTATATTGTTAAACCCGATGGATATTTTCCTGTTTGGGTCTTAATTGGCCTCTTTGCACTAGTCGAGTCTGTCGGCTCTCCCGACTCTTGATCCCTCCTGCCTTTGGTGTCTGTGATACCACCATACCCTGGTTCTCCTCCTACCTCTAGGCTACTCTTTCCACTCTCCTTCACAGGTTCCTCTTCTGCAGTCCCCCGAGAAACAGCAGTGTATCTCAGGGATCCATCCTTGGGCATCATTATAGGCCATAAGCTGATGATTTCTAATCTATAACTCTGGTAGAGATCTCATTTGGAGATCCTGAAATTTATTGGACAGATCTCCCTAGATGACTCACCGGTACTCCAAACTCAATTCCAGTCCAACTTATTCAAAATTGAACTCATCTTCCCCTTTAGTCCTTTCTCCTACATTACCTCATTTAGTGACTGTCCCCACTATCCACCTCAGGCCAGAAGCCTGGTATTCATCCTTGATTCTCTTCTTCTGCTCATTCACCATCCACATACACCTAATCAGCCTCTAAATCCTGAAGACCCCATCTCCTAATACGGAATGCAGAATGCCTGTCTTTCTCTCAGCCCTCACAGGCACTGCCTTAATTCAGGCCTTCATCTTGTCTCACCTGGGTCCCTACAATCAATTTCAAATAGTTCTCCCTTCTCTGTGCCTACCTTCCTTTCAATTCATTTTTAACACTGTTCCCAGGAAGAGCTTTCTAAAATGCAAATCTGATGTGTCACTCTCCTGCCTGAACTTGTTCAATGACACTCTGTAACTTCCAAGAGAAAGCTTATCTTCCCTAGCTCCATACAAAAGACCCACTTGACATCTGTACCCGTTCCATCCCACTAGCCTCCTCTCTTGCCATCCTACCACAGTTTCTCTGATCATCTAGCATATACTTTCCTTTTCCCAAAACATGTGCCTTCCTTTTTATAGGCCCCATACTCTGGGGAACCTTTCCAGATCTCCTCCCAACCCAGCTCTTCATCCCAGCCCTGCCTCTGCTCCTTCCTTAGTATCCTGAGACTATTTCTTTCATGACACGTATCATGTTGGACTTTACTTCCCCACCAGACTCAGCTCTGTGGGAACAGATTCCGTAATATATTTTTTGTGTATCCTCAGAACCTCATATAGTTATTTATTGAAGAAATTAAAATATTTTATCATCATAAATAGATATATACATAGGTAGGTGTGTGTGTGTGTGTGTGTGTGCGTCGCTAGCGTGTTTGGAGTTATAAGGGGAGAAGGAGGTAACGTTTGTTGAGCACTTAGAGTACGCCAGGGACTATGCTAGATACCTCATATGCATTTGTACCATAATCCTCATTTTATGAGAAAGCTGAGTAACCAGGGTATGACTTCATAGCTAGTAGGGAGGTGATAGAGCTGCAATTTGAGACTCGGCTTGTCTGATTCCAAACCCTGGGATTTTTCATCACCCACACTGCCTTCCCAACTACCAGAAAGGAACAGCCAGGCAGAAGAAGTGAGATGCTATATCATACAGATTTACTTGGGAACACTTAACTGTACTTATAATGAAAACCCTCAGGTTCTCAAGGCACAGGCTTTCCAGCTCCTTCAGTTGTGAAGAATACAAAGACCATTCAGTCTGTAACATTTTCTTTCCAGAGTTGATCTTTTTAAAAACTTTACAGCTGTTTTATAAGAATTCCACAAAGATGAACAGTATATATATGCTTTGAACGATCCCACCTGTCTCAGAGGAGATGTGCTTTTTAGCCACAGAATATACACTTTTTACAGTTATTATCTATTTATTCTACTGCATAAACGGCTGAATCTACAGAGCCTAGGAATTCCAGTGGGAAAACATGTATGGAATGTGCTCAGGGTGGGGACTTCCTCTAATTGTTGGAATGGAAGAAAAGCTGATAGGAAGATAAATCCTGCCTGGATACTTGGGAGAAGAATCCTGCTGAAGAGTAGTCAGGGGACGAGAATGATGGACCCCAGCGAACAAGTTAGATAACTCTGACTTCCACTCTAGAAGCCTTGCTGGGGCTTGGATGCAACTGTCCCAACTCTGAGAAGGTACCATCCGTTCTCAGTAGCCCTCTTTCCCTCCTACAGACTGTCCCCAAAGCTAGCTGGTGCTGTAGGGATGTTATCTTTATTAATCCTTTCTACTCTTCCTGGGATGGGGCACAAAGACCACACCTCTGCCTCTCCAGTGACCCTCTCTCACTGTAAGTTTAACCTATAGCTCACCTCTCGCCTTATCCTTAAACCCCACCAGAAAGAAATGGCTCAGAGGATGAGCAGGCTACAACATCTACTGGCTCCTTAGTCACCTGGGAAGATTTACTGGTCTGGCTGGAGGAATTTTTGCTTAATGAATGCCTGTTACATGCTTGGCATCGCACTGGCTGGAAGGAAGCCCTCTCCTCCTTCACGACCTCTTGTTCTACACACCTCCTAAAGCAGGATAAGTTGACCTTCCCACACAGAGAAGGGTCACCCTTTGGCCAACGGTCTTCAAGCAGCTGTCTTTTTGCCAGAGCCTGTAAACAAGTTCTGTGGGACACACTTCCTCCCTTGATGACTTTCAAGGTGCAGTCAGGAGAGGCACACCCAATGACTATCACGACCAAAACTCCGATAGTTTGTTGAACACATCAATAAGAAGCTTGCCGCTTATTCGTTGAGAAAGCCTTTTTTTTGGTTGGGTTTGTTTTGACTCAGGGAGCATCTAGATATAGCTGATTTTGGTTCAACCAGATCAAACACAAAGTCACCATGTCCCTATTGCTCACCTCACTCCCACCACAGGTCAGCCTTCTGAGATTGGAGACTTAGCCAAGAGGTAAGGATGTCTGCCTCCAACATTATTTGGTTATTTAAAGGGATACAATGTTGATGGCTTTTTTGTTTAAGAGGGAAAGTGGGGGAGGAGGTCAGATGCCCTTGACATTTAAACGTCTATGCCAAAACCTCAGGTAAACTTGTCTGCCCAAACTGAGTTACTGTTGAGAGAAATGGCGAAGTCATTTTCTTTCGGGAATCTGTAAATTGTTTTCAGTCTGAAAAGAAGCAAAACATAGCTGGGTGGGAAAGCATAGGAGGGGAGACAAAGATTCTCCTGACCGCAAGCCATGGCAGATGAACCGCGAGTTACCTGAAGGCAGCACCGTGAGCACCACACGCTGTGACTCGTCTGATGCTTGGCTGACCCACTTGCTTGGGTTGCCGTGTAGCTGCCACTCTGCCACCCTGCACCAGTACATTCCAGCATCCTCCATCTCCACTCGATGTATCATCAGGACAAAGTCTGCAGGGGATGAACGGTAACAGTGCAGGCGCCTCCTGAGCCCCTCTTCGCCATACTCCAGGAAGCCGTCATGCTGCAGGTGCACCAGCATTTTATTTCCAGAATTTTCTCTGTTCCAGTACCACATCACAGAGAACAGGGAGGCTGGGCTGCCCGCACTCTCCAGGCTGCAGCGGATGGCCACCTCGCTGTGCTCGGAGGCATTTTTTGTCCCGGACACTTTGGAGATGCGTACCTTACTTCCTAGGAAATAAAATGGCGGTAAGTTCAAGAAGAACCCAGATCTTAGATTGGACACCTCCTCTGAAAAGTCTACTTCTCATTGAAGGGATGCCATCTTATAATTTTTAGATATCAGGTCCTTCATCTTTAACACTTTTCCTTGACCCTTATCCTTCTTCCATATGTGCCAGAACATTCTCTGCTATGAATCAAACCAGCCACTTCCCTTCATCAGTCTGCCTCTTGCCTGCTGGACCTGACACTGAAAACCACCCAGCTTTGCCGGATGTTCTGCCCTGCTGCTTTTACTTCTCCCGGCTCAGCTCTCCCTTCTGCTTCCCAGAAAGGCCGTTCGAAACTTCCAGCCCGCCCCTCAAGTCCCATGTTCCATCACTACCCCTTTTTGTTTTTGCAAATTACCCTCCTCCCATACACTGGATATCACCTCAGGTATTAGACGCAGGGAAAGAGGAGGTTACCCAAGAGACTGAGCATTTTCATACATGTGTTAGAATATCACTCAAGGAGACTATTTACATTATTGGATTAGACTAAGTTTTAAACAGATTTTGACATTTACTTTTTTAAAATGTTCCCCTTTTAACTCACAGGTGAGGACTTGGAACGCTAGAGTAATCACACACAAAATAAATTATAGTATGCACTAAATTTTCAACTCTACTGCAAACATATTTATTGATCTATCTTTAAAAGAACATCTTTGTCTGATCCTACATTCTTTTTTAGCTACCATCTTTACTCTCTCTTTCCCTTTATAGAGAAGCATGTGAAATATTAGTTTACATGGTACTGCTTCTGCTTCCTCACCTCAAGTTACTCCCTACTTCATTGCCATCAGCTTTCCAATCTCATCTCTAGGCTCTGGCCGAGGTCCCCAGAAAAGGCCCGATTTCCCAGCTCAAGAGACCTTCCAGTCTTTTTTGTCTTCTCTGCAGTTTCTGTCACTGAAATCCATTTTCTTCTGATATCCTCTCCTCTTTTGATTTCAGAGAAAGCATCCCTCCTACAATTCTTACGAATCCTTCTCAGTATCTTTCCCTGGGGCCTCTTCCTTAACTTACTTCCTACACCAGGGTACACAGCTAGCTACTCCCAGCCAGCCACACACAGCCCACAAATATGTTTTATTTGACATCTTCAGTATTTTAAAAGAATTTGAATTCATTATGGACATTCCAAAATGAGTGACGTCACCAAAAAAAGATTTTAGGCATTTCTTGATAGACTAAAAGATTGAACAGCACTGGTCCCACGTTTCTGAATGGGAAGCGCTGGCTTGAGCTAAGAAATGGTGTGCACTTCTTAAAGGGGTGGGCACACACTGTCAAGATTCAGCTTGGACAACTGGGAGAAAGGGATGCCAGCCACCCAGATGGAGAATGGAGTGGCCATAAGCCTTGTGGGATGGCCAAGATGATAAACACCATCATGATGATTTGGGACATAAGGATGATTTGGGATATGCTGAATGTGAGGCTCTCTGGGTCAACCAAGTAGAAATGTGCAACAAACAGATGGGTAGAAAGGCCTGGAGCTCAGGAGATGGGGGCTAAGCATAAAATCTTAGAGCTGTTTCACTGAAGGTGGTAGTTGGTACCGCCAAGGTGGGATTTAAGAGGTTTTGAAAGGCACAGAGAGAAGAAAAATGGTCTCAGGTATCCCTGATGAACACCTGCATTGAGCAGGGAGAGGAAGGGCATGGAGAAGGGTGGCCAGAGCGGCAGGAAGAGACCCTCACGCTCAGCTGTTACTTTGCCCCTGCTGCTCCCAGCCGACTGCGAGCTCCTTAAGGCTCTGCCTTATTTATCTCTGGATTCCTAATTGCCTAACACATAGCAATGTTCATTATAATCTTATTTTTTGATGTTACATTGAAAATAGAATTTTCAGTGCCAAACTAGATTAACTTATTTGCATCGTGCTTTTGGATCTTGGCCAGCTCCCAAACCTTAGCTGTGAGGTTCATTTAATTTTAATCAACATTGGAGGTGACCTAACTAATGCTGACAGATCTAATCAACCCTGCCCACATTTAGACCACGGCACTCTTAGACTAATGCAAATGAATGGAACTTCTATTTCTTTTTTTCTTTTTTTTCGGTACACGGGCCTCTCACTGTTGTGGCCTCTCCCGTTGCGGAGCACAGGCTCCGGACGCGCAGGCTCAGCGGCCATGGCTCACGGGCCCAGCCGCTCCGCGGCATGTGGGATCCTCCCGGACCGGGGCACGAACCCGCGTCCCCTGCATTGGTAGGCGGACTCTCAACCACTGCGCCACCAGGGAAGCCCTCTATTTCATTTTTAAAGATCTCCTGAGGAGGAGGAGATGCCCTCAGTAAGCCATTCCAGCAGTTGACTACTTCTATTTGCCTTATGTTTAGGCAGCCAAACGTTGAACAGCAGTCTCTCCATACATCCCTATAGAGTTGGACAGTTTCTGTTCACAGTGGGAGAAATATGCTTTGTATTACTCTCTTTCTGCCAAATTACAGTAGAGCCCCACTGGAGTGACACAGCTTGTTTTACAGAGAGCTGGAGATACGATACCCTGGGTCGCTGCATAGACCAGCCTGTCAGGCTGAGAAGCAAACCAATCAAAGGGATCTTGCTCCCATCTAAGCTTCTCCAAATCTCAGCTTGACTCAAAGGGACCCCCGCCTGCTCTGGTGGGCTATCCAGTCCTGCAGTCACTGTGCAGGTGGGCACTATTCCTATGACTGTAGGTCATATTTTTACCTTCATCTAATCACTCCATAGAACAGCTGCCCAAGAGAAGACGGCAATTCTACAGAAAGATGAGTGAGAATATACTTGCAAGGTTTACCTGTGGGCCTGAGTTTCAATTCTGTTAGACCTGATGTCTTTTCTCCAAGCTTGTGCCAAGTGCCATTTGTAGACCAGAGCCATTCCTCCACAGCGCAGCGATATTTGCCCTGATCGCTGTCTTCCACGTTCAGAATGTGTAGCTGAAACAAGTCTTGGGAAACTTTCTCGGCGTGGAATTTTTGTTTTCTCCATGCGGTCTGAAATTCATCCCCGTATTTTACTACGTGGGTTCGGTCCATTTCCAGGATCCTCAGCCAGGGTGCATTAGTGGACGTGGCAGAGAAGTACCAAGTAACAGCCAACTGAAGGTTTCCAGTGGATTGGCACAGGATGTTACACTCTATGTCTGTGTTGGAGTTGATGGAGATCTCTTGGACTTGACTACTTGAATTCACTTTCAGCTTGCTCTCTAAATTAAAAGAATGGGACCATTACTTTTGTTACTTTGCTAGAAAATAGAACTTTAAAGTAGAAGGGACATTGGAGGTCAACTAGGGCCATACCTCCTACACCCATCAAATGTGTGAATTCCCTCGTCAGCAGCCCCACTAACTGCTCATTCAGCCTTTGAACAACTCACTAACTGACAAAGCACCCATTCCACCTTTGGACATGCTGCCACCAGAGGACTCTTTCTGATATCAAGTTGAATTTGACTTCTCCATAACTTCCATCCACTGGTCCTAATTCTACCCCTGCCCCAGAGGCGTGGGATAGGGAGTGTGGGGCAGGGAGGAAGTGTTATGCAGAAAAGCCAATCTCTTCCACATGAAAATGCTTCAGTATTAGATAACCAACAAGGACCTACTGTATAGCACAGGGAACTCTGCTCAACATTCTGTAATAACCTAAATGGGAAAAGAATAGACACGTACATGTATATGTATAACTGAATCACTTTGCTGTACACCTGAAACTGACACAACATTGTTTATCAACTATACTCCAGTATAAAAGAAAAGAAAAGAAAATGCTTCAGTATTTTGGCACCGACATCTTCTCTTCTATAGCATTTCATAAATCAAATTGAGAGAAAGTGGCCCTATTAATGCTTTGTCTGTGTGTTCACTATCCAGATACTCCTAGATCCACAGTTTGCCTAAGTCTAATTGTATCTGCCGGCAAACATGGGTAAACAAGAGGAAGTTGTACGTGGGCTATTACACCTGTGCGTTTCTTTGCAGCCACTCGACTGTGGAAACATTGTACGGCTATGGAGTCAACTATCCTTTAACCCAGAGCTTTCCTGCTTTGTCAGAAAGATGAACGGTAAAGCCTGGCTTCCAAATCTTATGCTTATCTTCTTGCTGACGTCACCAGTTCTACTTTTGTGGCTGCTTATTGATGCTCCCAGTAGGTCCCTTTACTCTTCCTTCAACAAACATTTATTAAGCATGTACTATATTATGTGCCAGACTATTCCAGGCTCTGTGGATCCCTCCCCTCAGTCTCTGCTTAGAGGAAGAGACTAGTACAGGACAGAGGCTTAGAGATTATAGGATTGTGTCACCCAGGGGGGACAGAGGTATGCAGAAGTGGCTGTCAGAGCACACAGCAGGACTGTCTAACCCAAATATGGGAGTGAGGGGAGGCTTCCTGGAGGAGATATCTCTAAGCTACGTCTTAAGGGTTAATAGGAATTAATCTGATGGAGAAGGGGTTAAGGAATTCCATGCAAAAGAAGCAACTTGAACAAAGACTAAAAATGAGAGAGAGCATAGAGTATGTGAGGAACTTCCAGTAGTTCACTGTGGCTGGAGCTCAAATTCAAGATGGAAAGTGGAAAGAGATGATGCAGGAAAGACATAAATGTATCAGATGGTAAAGGACCTTGCCATGTAATGGGAGTTTGGACATGAGGTAGACGTGGAGGAGTAGTGGATGACTCAGGTTTCCTGCTTGGATCACCGATGGATGGTGGGAACATGGAGAACATCGTCAGAGGAGTAGCTTTGGAGGGATAATAATGGTGTATTTATGTTTTGACATATTGAGTGTAGACATGTCTTAGAGGCAATTGCATTGATGAGTCTGGAGATCAGAAGAGAAGTATTTCAAGATAATGAATTTGGGATTTGTCAGTATATAGCCTGAATCCCTGGGTAGGAATAAGCCCACTTTGGGACAGTGTACAGAATGAGAAGAGAGGAAGTTGAGGATGAAACCCAAAGGGATGAGTCAGTGAAGGAGGAGGATTCTGCAAAAGAGAATGAGAAGGAGCAGTCGGCGTGTTAGGAAGGAAACCAAGAAAATCTTGTGTCATAAGGTCAAGAAAAGAGAAGTTTTAAGAAGAAAGGATTAAACCAACAATTTGAAATACATCAGAAAGGACAAGTAAATTAAGGCATGAGTTAATCAACAAGGAGATCATTGTTATTACCAAAAATATAGCTCAGTAGCTGAGATAATGACTGCTACCACGTTTGAACATCTGCTTGGTGTGTCAGGCACTGTACTAGGAATGTGTCGCCATCTTTAAATTGCACATCAGCAATTTACATATGGGGGTCACTGGGCTTGGACAGATTAAGGTGCCTTGTCTAAAGTGATGCTTCTATCCAGTGCTTGTCAGGTCTAAATGACGTCAAAGCCTCTTGAACACTTTGCCCTAAGAGAATGGAAGTCATGAAAGATACCAGCACAGCAGAATTTGCCAAGTTGTGTCTTACTTTTAATCTCTATCCTCTATTACCAACTGACAAGGTAAATTATTTTGACTGTAATCATAAATTCTCTAACTCTTGTATATTAACATATCAAAATGAATGGATAAATGTATTTAATGGGATTTACATTAACCATACCACCAGGGGACACATTCTAAACATTTAATGACTGATCAGGCATGGGTACTGACCAATCCGAAAGAATTCCTCACCACTGGATCTGGTCCTAGATGTCCCCTGCTGTGCCACGTGGTTCCCTTTAGTTGCTGAGTAGTGGGGACTTATGGTAAGTGGGGAAGGGGCAACAGTTAGAATTCGTCAGTGTGGAAGTATTTCAATGTTTTAAAAACCAGTATGGTGGGACTTCTCTGGTGGCGCAGTGGTTAAGAATCCACCTGCCAATGCAGGGGACATAGGTTGGAGCCCTAGTCTGGGAAGATCCCACATGCCGCAGAGCAACTAAGCCCGTGTGCCACAACTACTGAGCCCGCATGCCACAACTACTGAAGCCCGCGCGCCTAGAGCCTGTGCTCCGCAACAAGAGAAGCCACCGCAATGAGAAACCTGCGCACCGCAATGAAGAGTAGCCCTAGCTCAACTCAACTATTGAAAGCCCGCCTTCAGGCACGAAGACTCAACACAGCCAAAGAAAAACAAAAACAAAAACCAGTATGGCCATTTTGTGCATATTAACTTAATGTTAACCTGGATATCCCTCTGTGTGTGTGTGTGTGTGTGTGTGTGTGTGTGTGTGTTTGTTTTTGTTTCTGGTTCCTTTTTTAAATTGAAGTATAGTTGATTTACAATGTTTCAGGTATACAGCAAAGTGATTCAGTTATACACATATATATTTTTATTCAGGTTCTTTTCCATTATAGGTTATTATAAGATATTTAATGTAGTTCCCTCTGCTATACAGTAGGTCCTTATTGTTTATCTATTTTATATATACTGGTGAGTATCTGTTAATACCAAACTCCTAATTTATCCCTCCCCCTCCCTTCCTGTATATCACTTACATATGGTGCTTACTTATAATACAAACTTGGGGAAAAGGTATTCTATGCTTTAATTCTATAACTTACCCTAAATGGGAGGAATGTTTAACAATAAAGCAGGATTAATTTCAAGTAGTGTTTACCTGGTAAAGTGACAGTGATCCTCAATGGGTGAGAGATGGCAGAAGCCCTCACGGGGCCGTTTGTGTGTAGGGAACTTCTGTCATAAACTTCTACATTACACTGATAAACTCCTGCTTCTTCCTCGGTGGCATCATGGATTAGGAGTTGAGAACGAAATAAAGACTGTGAAACCTTTGTCTTCTTTTGGAACTGGGGTAGGAAGTTCCCCCATTCAATAGTGCCATTATGGGTGATTCGAAGAAGCAGATCAAAGGCTCGAGATCTAGCTGCCTGGAACTGCCATGTCACGGTGAGTAGAACCTTGAGGTCAGAGTAGCGAACACCCACTATGCAGGACAGGTCAAAGGTGTTGGTTAATTTCACTTGTGGTTGACGGCTCATCAGACTAACATGAAAACTTGACTCTGTGGGCAGAAACGTGAAACACAATTTCTAATACATTCAGCAAATCGAGGTACAAGTTGTCCTAGTCATTGCCTCCTCACATTGAACTATGTGTTCATACGCTGGGAGTATCAAATACGTGGGGGTAGAAACTGATTCACAGTACAGTCTGTCCTGAAGTCTGACTTCAATTTTCTAAAGTTGACCCTCTTCTAAAGAGTGTTCTCAGCAGAGACAACAAACAGGCAGTGTTTCTCCAGTCTGCTGCTTAGACAGCTGCCGCTGAGTGGGTGGGGTGCTCGCCGGCCCCACTGGCTGGCCTCCTTCCCTCATCCCCACTCCTTGGTGCACCATCACTCTTTTGCACGTGCTCCAAGAGACTCTGCAATCCCAGGGCTGCAGCTGTCAGAAGCCTGAAATGCATGAGGCTCCGCTCCACTTGGCATATCTCTTTTCTAAGTCTATTCCAATTCATACGATTTTGTTTTTAGCCTTGAATAACAATTTACAAGTTGCACTCTAACGATGATCTCTATAAAGATGAGTAAACTTCAGAGATCAGCTGACAGACATGGTAGCCAGAGACTCTGCTCTGTGTCCTGGGGTACACGTACCATAACTAGGGGATTCAGGGTGACACACAATCGAATTCCACAGCATTCCACTGCAGAAGGAAGATACTGAAGATGCGTAAGTTCAGAAAAGGATTTCCCTGACACTTACTCAGAGGTTTTACAGTGACTGACATCTGAGCCCAGCTCTGATCTCTGGTCTTGCTCCGGGGCATCTCAGACACCCTGCACTCATACATGCCGCTGTCTGTGATGGTGGTGGAGGTGATCTCCAGCTGGAAGGTGTCCCAGTCCGTCTTCTCCAGCCTTGTGTTGCTGTGCTTATCGAGTTGCCCGTAGAAGGCACCCAGCTGCATGGTGCCGTCCTGCCCCATTCCAGCCACAAACTCCGGCTCTGTCTCGTCTTGTGGGATGTGCCACCAGGTCACGGACAGGAGACTTTTAGCTCCACCTACCTTGCAGAGAAGGGTTAACGCCTCTCCTTCCCACACTGCTTGCTTCCTGTTCTTGGTAGACATGACCACATATCTTGCTGTGGATTACAGATTTTAAAAGAAAAAATTATTTCAAGTAAATGAAATTTTTTCTAAAAAACGGTGAAATCTCATTAATTAGGACTTGACAACTTTGTGACAAATCCGATCAGGTTGTTCACTCCTGCACCACCCCCAGAAAAAAAGATTTCATCAACACTTAAATAGTAGAAACAGCAGAAAGAATACCAGGAGAACTTATTTACACTTAAACCATTTATAATTTGCCCTAATTTTTAGTGATTTGTTCCTTAGGAACATCTAGTTGGGAAAACATCTGGTAATATTTTGTTAAATTAATTACAGTTGGTGTATGAGGCTGAAAGTAATGAAGCCGTGTTTAGTTTTTTAGAATTCAGACTTTCACAGTTCAAAATGACCTTCCTCTTCTTACTTACCTTCCCCTAATTGGTATATATTCTGAACAGTGAAGGAGTATTGTTAATTATATTTCTGTTCAAAATACTGCCATTAGAAAACAATTACTTGGGGGAAAATGTATGTATATATAAATATATATATATATATACAATAAATATATATATACATTTCCCCCCAAGTATTTTTTTAAATATATATATTTACCCATACATATACATTTCTCTTTTTCAAATCATATATTCATTCATATACATTGTTGAAGCGAGATCCTTCCTATATCTGAACTACAGTGTAAAACAATAAATGTAAATCTGGCTTCCAGATGGGAAATTAAAGATGTGTAGAAACGCAGACATTCCTTCAACAGATACTTCCTGTGCAAGGCCTTGTCCTGGGTGCTTTGTGGGCAATGTAAAGATCCCTCAAGCTCATGCATCCTAGGCAGCCCAGCCTCATGCTTCAGGTCAAGGTCACTGTTGTCAGAATTATCCTAGGCAACATAGTGGACCTCTCTACGCCTCAATTTCCTTTCCTGTAAATATGGGGGTAATAATAACACCTCCCTTATGCATTGTGAGAGGACTAAATGAATGGTACATGCAAAGGGCTTACCCCGGCTGGCAAGGAGAAGTACCCAGCAAAGGTGAGCTATTAGCGTTAGTGCGTCATGATAGGCACTTTGTGAAAGCAGAGGAGTTCAAAGCCAGAAAAGGAAAACAAAATGGATTTTTTTTCAAATTTATTTTTTCTGGCCTTGTGGGATCTTAGTTCCCCGACCAGGGATCAAACCCAGGCCCTCGGCAGTGAGAGCATGGAGTCCTAACCACTGGACCACCAGGGAATTCCCAGGAAAACAAAATAAAACTGACATTAGAAATTTAAATAGGATCTAAATGAATTTGCAAATTGATCTTCTCTGCTGAGGAAGGAGTTCAGTCTTTAAGCACTTTATGTATAAATGTATATGTTACAAAGGCAGAATGAAGGCTAATGTCCACAAATAGGTTAACATATCTATATCTATTTATCTATCTATGACATATATATAACTTGCTTCCAAATTTTGGGTATTAGAGGCTTAATTATACTTAATTTTTTTTTCAAGTTAAAAATAGACTCATGGGCTTCCCTGGTGGCGCAGTGGTTGAGAGTCTGTCTGCCGATGCAGGGGACACAGGTTCGTGCCCCGGTCTGGGAAGATCCCATATGCCGCGGAGCAGCTGGGCCCGTGAGCCATGGCCACTGAGCTTGCGCTCTGCAACGGGAGAGGCCACAACAGTGAGAGGCCCACGTACCGCAAAAATAAAAAAAAAAATAAAAAAAAAAGACTCATAACTAAAGTTTAGAAATTAGAGGGGAAATTATTACTCATAATCTCACTACTCAAATATAACCATTATGATTAGCTTCAACCAGCTTCAGTTTTGTTTTGTTTTGTCTTTTTAACTGTGGTTTCCTTAGTTTACTGTGGTCGTTACTGCCTCTCGGTAAGAAGTAACACACTCACCACGCATGCGTAAGGTATACATGCATAGCAGTAGGGAGTACCCTCTTCTGTTTAAAACATTCACGGAGTGATAAAACTCTGCTCATACTTGAAGTAATGGTTTGAGTTTCAAAACCAAAGGCTCAACAGGATCTTTAATAAATCTGTTAATAACCTTTTTTTATTCTACGTAAAAAGAAACAGGCTGGACTCCAGCCTGCACAAAGGATTATTTTTAGCTTGGGAAGACCAACTACTTGATAGGCTCGTGATCTGTGTGCCATGAAGCACACCTTTAGGTCTCTTTAGCACAAATTCCTATGTCCTGAGTTTATGAAAGATTTACAGATCTGCTCCAGCAGAGACAGATACACGAAGTTGAGATTTAGCTCTGTGTAAATATGTAAACACGCCTACATAGTTTTTTTCTGAATCCTAGCAAGTCAGAACAAATGTTTAGTGTCAAAATTACCACCAACACACTTCCTGGCTCGCCACTCTAGGCCAAAGCTGTGCGTCTTCACTCCCAGCAAAGGGGGTGATGGAGAAGAGGATGGAAGGGGAATGTTTCTATCTTTGGAGAGGCCTCCAGTGAGCAAGTACAACAAGGATATCTTCATTTTTAGTTTGTTTTTGATTTTGGTTTTTGCAAAACCAAAAATTTGGGGCAATTCATTTTCCTAGACTTTGAATTTAATACCCAGCCCAGAGGATCCTAATATTACTTGCGGATTTATCGGTTTTCTCTCCACACAAAAAGCACTGATAATTCAAACACGTTTAAGGTCACCCAGCCTTCAGAAACTAAACAAGACCTGAGTGGCCTTCCAGGTACTCAGACCCATTGGGATAGGCATCTCACGACATCATAACAACATACAGGCAATAGAGTCTGCCCACTATCATTTACTTCTTCTTTTCTTACTCTGAGTCATGCTTTGGTGCAGAATTAAGACTTAGTATCAGTTTAAGATAATAGAGAATTGATGAAAGATGTCGCAGGAGTAGGAGGGGTAACGTGGGTGTTTATTTCCCAGGAAGGGGGCAAGTGTAAGCTCTTGCCTCTTAATCTACTCAAAACACACACACATACGCGCGCGCGCGCAACAAGGAGACAGAGGGCTTCATTAATACAGGTGTTCTCTGCTGAAAGAATACCCCAATGGACAAAAATTAGAAATAACAGCAAATAGAATCAAAGAATCTAAGATGGCAAGAAGGTACTTAAGGACAGTCAGATTAGATGTCATTATCTTACAGTTGAAGAAGCTGAGATTTAGAGGTGAAGTACATAGTGTGTTCATGATCATGGCCCATTTAATGGCTCAGGAATAGGACTCAGGTCTTCAGCTGGTTTGGGTGCTTTCCTTTGCAGTACTCCACTCCACCTCAAAGTGATCTGATTGACACCTGACTTCAGAAGACCTCCCCTGTGTCCATGAAGGCATCCTGTACTCACAAAGGAGGGCATCTAAAAGCAGCCCAATCGTGTCTGGCCCCGACTTCACATACCTGCTGGCTTCCTCAGGTGCACGTAGCTGTCTGGTGACTGTTTTTTCTGGAGCACCTGCCAGGAGCCCATCTGAGCTCTTGTCACCTCCGCCACGGCACATCTGTAGGCACCTTCATCCCTTGGCCCCACAGAGAAGATCTTGAGAGAGAAAGACTTGGGGCTTAACTTTGAAACCTGGAGCTGTCCTTGACTTGCTCTTTCTTGATAGTTTTTCTTCAGACCCAGAACTCCACCAGCATCAATGTGGGCCATTTCAATATCATTGAAGAACCAAGTGCTATGAAGCTGTGGGTCCCGGCCACCGCCCATGACCAGGCAAACCAGTTCTAAGGGTTTTCCTTCAGGAACCGTGCTCTCAGCCGTGATGTTGACTTGAAAATCTCTCACTAGGAAACAAAAGCAAGGCAGATATATAGAGAGGCCACTGCATCTATCCTTTCAATACCAGAGAGAGATGCTACCTCCTGTTAGGATAGTACAGGGATTGAATTTCATGTGGGAGATCAGTTCTGAGGAGAAGGTAAGCCAAAGAAATGCCTAGAATTAAAAAATGCCCTTGACTACTCTTTAAATCACCTAGAAAGAACAACATACATGATTTTCTGAATGCAATCCTATTAAGCAAGATGTATGCATAATGTGTAAAGTACACAGTAATGTATCTTTTTAAATAAAATATTTTATACTATGTTGAATCGATGTAAATTGTGATTTCTTGCTCTCATTTTTGGCTGAGCATATCCAGTGGAATTTTCCGAAGTTAAAAGCATATGTGATATATGGCAAGTCCACAGCTAACATCACACTTAACAGTGAAAAGCTGAAAGCTTTTCCTCTAAGATCAAGAATAAGACAAGGATGACCACTCTCACCACTTCTATTCAACATAGTATTGGAAGTCCTAGCCAGAGCAGTTAGACAGAAAAAGAAATTAAAGGCATCCAAATTGGAAAAAAAGGAAGTAAAACTGTCACTGTTGGCAGATGACATGATCTTACATATAGAAACCAAAAAAAACTCCACCAAAAGATGTTAAAACTAATAAAGAATTTCAGTAAAATTGCAGGATACAAAATCAACATACAAAAAAAAAAATCAGTTGCATCTCTATACCCTAACAATGAACTATCCAAAAAAGAAATTAAGAAAACAATCCCATTTACAATAGCATCAAAAGGAAGAAGATACTTAGGGATAAATTTAACCAAGGAGGTGAAAGTCATGTACAATGAAAACTATAGAATACTGATGAAACTAACTGAAGATGAAACAAATAAATGGAAAGATATCCCATGTTCATGGGTCGGAAGAATTAATATTGTTAAAATGTCCATACCACCCGAAGCAATCTACAGATTCATTGCAATCCCTATCAAAATTCTAATGGCATTTTAAAATAGACAAAAAGAATTCTAAAATTCATATGGAACCACAAAAGACCCTGAATAGCCAAAGAATTTTGAGCAAGAGCTGTAGGTATCACATGCCTGATTTCAAAATACATTACAAAGCTACAGTAATCAAAACAGTATGGTGCTGGTATAAAGCCATATAGACCAATGAAACAGAAAAGAGAACCCAAAAACAAATCCATGAATCTATGTCAATTAATCTCCAATAAGGGTGCCAAGAATACACAACAGGGAAAAGATAGTCTCTTCAAATAAATGGTGTTGAATAAACTGGATATCCACATGCAGAAGAATGAAGTTGGACCCCTATCTCGTGCCATATTAAAAAAATAAACTCAAAATGGATCAAAGATTTAAACATAAGACCTGAAACTGAAAAACTACTAGAAGAAAACAGAAGGGGGAATTCCCTGGCAGTCCAGTGGTTAAGACTCTGCACTTCCACTGCAGGGGGCACACGTTCAGTCTCTGGTCAGGGAACTAAGATCCCACATGCCACATGGCACAGCCAAAAAAAAAGAAAAAGAAAAAGAAAAGAAAATAGAAGGAAAACATTCTTGACATTATTTTGGGCAATGATTTTCTGGATATGACCCCACAAGCACAGGCAACAAAAGTAAAAATAGATTGTGGGATCGCATCAAACTAAAAAGATCCTGCACACAAAAGAAACAATCAACAGAGTGAAGAGACAATCTACAAAATGGGAGAAAATATTTGCACACCATGTATTTGAAAAAGGGTTACTAGCCAAAATGGATAAGAAACTCATACAAATTAATAGCAAACCAAAAAAAAAAACCCCAAATAACTTAATATAAAGACGAGCAAAGGATCTGAAGGGACATTTCTCAAAGGAAGACATACAAGTGACGAAAAATATGGAAAAAGATGCTCATCACTAATCATCAGGGAAATGCAAATTGAAGCCACAAGATATCACCTCACATCTGTTAGGATGGCAATTATCAAAAAGACAAAAGATATCAAGTGTTGGTGAGGATGGACAAGAAAAAGGAAACCTTGTACACTGTGAGTGTACAAGGAATGTCAATTGGTATGGCCATGATAGAAAACAGTATGGAGGTTCCTCAAAAACTAAAAGTAGAACTACCATATAACCCAGCAATCCCACTTCCACGTACATATCCAAAGGAAATGAAATCAGTATCTCAACGAGATATCTGCACCCCTATGTTCATTATTCATAATAGCCAAGATATGAAAACAAACTAAGTGTCCATCAAGGGATAAATGTATGAAGAAAATGTGGTATATATACACAATGGAATATTATTCAGCCATAAAAAAAGGAAAATCTTGCCATTTTCAAAAACATGGATCAACCTGGAGGACATTTTGCTATGTGAAATAAGCCAGACACAGAAAGACAAATATTGTGGAAACTAAAAATTGACAAAATGAATACATAGAAGTGGAGAGTAGAATGGTGGTTACCAGGGGTTGGGGGAGTGGGGACAATGGGGAGATATTGGTCAAAGGGTACAAAGTTTCAGTTATGCAGGATGAATAAGTTCTGGAGATCTAATGTACAGCATGGTGACTACAGTTAGTAATACTGTGTGGTATTACTTGAAATTTGCTAAGAAGGATCTTAAGAATTCTCACCACATACACAACACAACCACGTGAGGTGATGGGTATGTTAGTGAACTTCATTGTAGTCATGTCACAGTGCATACAGATATCAAAACATCATATTGCACACCTTAAACGTATACAACTTTTATTGATCTAAATAAATAAAATTTTAAAATAAAGAGTTTTACATTTTTAAAAATTGTTTTCAAAGGGAGGGGAAAGAAGCACATGTGATGTGTCTCCAAAGGACTCCCTGAGTATAATTTGGACACGTACCACCATCAGGACAATTTTTAATAGAAGAGAATAACACTCCTAAAAAAAAAGAAAGAAAACTTCAATGATCCACTATTGGATCATTGCTTTCAGCAGGGATATATATGGTTATAGACCTCCTCCTCCTGGACCAAAGCCCATGTGGAGAGACCAGGAATCAAAATGGAGGCTTCCTGCTTGCTTTGGCGAAAGTGTCAATGGCTCATGAAGAGTGACACCGTTCCAAGGAAACGGGGTAAGGCGGAAGGAGCAGTGACTAACACAAGGCTTCACGTTGGAAATAGGCTACTCTGAGGCGCAGGTGTCTGTGGGGAGAGGGCCTTGGAGAGATACACCTGTCTTCAAACGCCAGCTCCAGCAGAGCGAGCTAAGGCAGAGCATTTAGCTGAGGCTCAGGGTCACGTTTCAAAAATGGGGACTTGACTAGTTGCCTCAGAGGGTGGTTGTTAGGACTAAATTCGATAATGTATTATAGATAAAGTGCTTACACAGAGCCTGGCAAGAATGGCAACAAAACTATTTCCATGCATGGCTGTGGAATCTACCTAACATTCAACAGATTTTATCCCATAGAAAACCTCCCGTGGACAGAGCCCCAAATCTGTCCTTCTTACTTATGCTTCCCAGATGACAAAAACAAAATTTACTCAAACTTTCTAATGATTTTTTTTTTTTTCGCGGTACACGGACCTCTCACTGTTGTGGCCTCTCCCGTTGCGGAGCACAGGCTCCGGACGCACAGGCTCAGCGGCCATGGCTCACGGGCCCAGCCGCTCCGCGGCATGTGGGATCTCCCCGGACCGGGGCTCGAACCCGTGTCCCCTGCATCGGCAGACGGACTCTCAACCACTGAGCCACCGGGGAAGCCCTCTAATGATATTTTTGATCCAACAAAAGATTAGAAAAAAACAAAAAGAGAAAACTCCCTCGCGGTCCAGTGGTTAGGACTCCGCGCTTTCACTGCCGAGAGCGCGGATTCAATCCCTGGTCGGGGAACTAAGATCCCGTAAGCCACGTGGCACAGCCAAAAAAAAAAAAAAAAAAAAGAAGAAGAAAGATATCCAGATACCCACTACTAGCTGTTAATGAATTTCCCGAGAAGATAATTACCTGCTGGATGGACCTTCAGAGTTGTTTGATCTGTCTGCTTTTTCGTGATGGAAGTCCAGGTTTCATCCGGATCCTGAATCCATTCAGTTGCCTCACAGAACAGCTGACCCTGATCTGAGGGCCGAAGTCTCCCTATGGACAGCCTGAAGGTAGTGACCCCAAGCTTGTCGAGCCGCACGTCACCAGCTGCAAACCTCTCTGTATACAAGGGCCCAGGGAGCAGCATAAAATCTTTGGAGAGGGAAACAATCTTGCTGGCTTGGCTTCTTTCTCCATCTTGCATCAGGTACCAGGTGACAGAGAGGTGAGTATGTTGAGCTGTGGCTTTGGATGACTCACAGGTAAGTTCCAATGGCTCACCTTCCTCCTTACTGAGAGTCTGGGAAGTCATGGCAGCAGAGAGGGTATCTGGAATGACTGGATGCAAAGGAATGATTGTAATTGACTGAGTACCTGTCAGACTAGCCTCCTTAGATGAAGATGGTGCCCTGACCCAACATCTGTACAGTACATACTTTGAGTTGGCTTTCCACCAGCCATATGCTTTCCCTATTGCCAACAGGAACATTGGCATCTATATACATACAGACTAGGGAACTCGGCAAAGCTATTGGTTCACTGTTGTACTGACCCTGATTTTACATTTTTAGCATAGGCTGTAACCAATTTAGCTATTCAGACACAGAGGTTTTAAATGGGAAAAGCACTGGGAGCTAGAAGACTATATTCTGATCCTATATTTGTCCCTATTTGACTCCATGAATTGGAGGGAGTTACTTCACTTCCTTGGGCCTTCACCTGCTCCTTTATAAAATAAAGTTCTGAAATAATCTGTTACAATTTATCATTCAGAGCCAAAATGCAACCCTTACCAAAGTTTCGAAAACCATCTTACTACCCTACCATTCTTTCCTTCCTCAAAGGAAATCACACAGCCTAAGTTTATGTGAAAGCAACACTTAGATTCAAAAATGAATGTTTATTGAGCATCTACTCAGAGCTAACCACTGTGCTAGAGAGTGAGGTAAATGTTCTCTTCTCATGGAGCTCAAGGTGAGGTCAGAGAGGGTCATGTAAGTAGCCAATTACCACATAAACTGGGTGAGTACTAATAACAGTAGTGTGAACAGAGCATCAAGAAAGAACAAAGATGGGAATACTGCCTGAGACAGAATGGGTTTCACAGAAGAGGTAATACCTAAACTGGGTTCAGAAGTATATGTAGGAGTTTGCTAGGCTGAAAAGGGAGTAATAAGATATTCTAGGCAAAGGGACAAAAGGGTAATTTCAAATAATATGACCCTTGCCCCATAGGTAACTATGTTAGAGAATGGTAGTTTGAGAGTAATTACTTCCAAGTTAATGACTTACTTCCTATGGTATTATATTAATTATATATAAACATATATTAAATATATTAATACTGGCTCTTCTATCAAGTTAATATTCTGCCTCTGAGAAGAGACATGAGAACTCTCAAAGCTTTGTCTAATGCTGTGCTATTATCGACCTATGAATAGCTGTGGGCAAGGCCTAGGAAGACCACGTACTATCTAACTCTTCATGACAAAGTCGATTGGGAAAATGAATTAAGAGCTTTAGGGAATATGAGATACCTATTTGTGACAAACTCCAAAATATCCAGAGGGGTATGTGGGCTCTTTTGCCAAAACAAACAGCACAATATAAAGTCATGTCACGTTGCAAGGCATCGTGTTGATGGTGAGAATCTGGCTTCTCAGGGGCTGGCTAGAAGAGGAGGGCACACAGCTTACCAATTAGATTCGTCTTTGCACTGTAACTCCCATAGTATTTTCCATCAGTGTTGGGTGTGTGACACTCATACTCGCCGGAATCCTTCATCTGGAGCTTGGCGATGTGCAAAAAGACTGAGTTACCCTGGACCTTCTCCACGTAGATTTCCTTACTTTGCACCCGCTGTGCATACACTGCATAAGAGAAGGTGGCATCCTTGGTGCTAATGATCTGGATTTCTTGGGTCGGGGCTGTCGGCAGGTAAACAGACCACTGGAAATGCTGCTCAGAAGGTCCCCGGTAGCCAGTTACGTTGCAGCCGATGCTAATGGGGTAACCTTCAGCTCTGAACAGCGGTCCTTTCTGAACTGTTACTTCTCTCTGGGCAGTGCTGAGCTTAGCTTGCAAGTAGGAGAAAGAAAGGGGAATAAAAATAGATTAGTGCTCCAGTTCCCAATGTGCCACATTATGTAGCTCCCTGTATTACAATTCTAGAAAATGAGATCGCAGGTTATTAGCTATAATCAACTCAAATGTTCAATACCTTCTTCAGGATGAGGAGCAGTGGAATGGCTTGATGAGTTAATTGTTCTTTTTTTTTTTTTTTTTTTTTGCGGTACGCGGGCCTCTCCCGTGGCGGAGCACAGGCTCCGGACGCGCAGGTTCAGCGGCCATGGCTCACGGGCCCAGCCGTTCCGCGGCACGTGGGATCTTCCCGGACCGGGGCACGAACCCGTGTCCCCTGCATTGGCAGGCGGACTCTCAACCACTGCGCCACCAGGGAAGCCCGAGTTAATTGTTCTTTTATAAGTTTAACTTCCATAGTAATCTCTAGTCTCTTAAAAAAAAAATGTTTAGCTTCATCAATGTAACATGACCACTTTCATAAAACATATCTGCTTATCTAAGTGCACCTGAAGTAAATACGATGTATAATAATTCACCTTTTACATTATTTTAGGGGAAAATGCCTCGATATACTTCCTCAAGCCTCCAATTCCTAGGTACCTGTCATCGAGCTTTTCTCACAGAAATGATTGCTGGAGAGGCAGAGTTTATGGCACTGCTCCTGGTGCCATGCTTTTTCCTGCTGGTTGGTTGGAAATATCTGTAGCTCCCGGCCAGGTGTGATGCAAGACTAGCTAAAATTAGCATCTGAAGAAGCAGCAGCACTTCCTTTCTATACCGTGGAGGGTTTTTCATTTTGTAATTTTTTAAAGAGCCACTACAGCTTTATTGAAAAGCTTCATACAAGATGACTGTCCAGTCCAACAGGATCTGGGATCAGATTTAGTTTAGTTGTTCTCTTACCCCAAGTTTTCAGTTGGGACCACTATGGAATGTTTCCTGTTGGGACAAATCTTAAGTATTAGGTTTAAAGGAGAAAATCTTATTCAATGGTAACATTTCCTTTGACATACACCTTTTCAAAATCAAGACTTTTTTAGAAATTAAAAGGTATGTGTTTATTTATTATGTTAACATTAAAGCCTAGTTTATTTTGTGTAACAGAAAGAACAAAGAACAAATGACAGAGATGCCACAGGGTGAGCTAGATCTTTCACTCGGGGCCTAGGGCCCAGTGGAAAGACATCAGAAGAGTCCAACAGGGAGCAATTGCTGGTATTACAGAATTAACAGAATAGAGTTCATAAGTGGGCATGGAAGAAGCAGAGCATCTGCTGAATTTGTTGAATCCACAAGGACAAAGAGTAAAGGAGACCAGAGTGAAAAAAAAGTGAGAGAGGGGAAAATGACATTACAGAGACCATGAGTATAGGCTGAGTATTTTAGAATGAAGACAATTCTGATAGGAGGGGACCTGCAAAAACATAGGGAGAAAGGGTAAGAGATCACCTGATACAGTCAACTAAAAATTGCATATGGATACAATCAATGCAAAACTGGAAAACAAATATGCAATCAGTCAACCAATCACACAAATTTCCAGTAATCATTTAAAATATACTAATTTATTCATAAATCCCAGTTAATGTGATATATGTATGTTAGGCTCTTTTTGTAATAAGCATTTAGGAATAGAAGTTGGACTATAGGAGAAAAAATTTTTAATTTTTTTTCAAAACAGATGACTTTTTATTGAAGTATAGTTGATTTACAATATTGTGTTAGTTTCTGGTGTACAGCAAAGTGATTCAGTTACACACATATATATATTCTTTTTCAGATCCTTTTCTATTATAGGTTATTACAATATATTGAATATAGTTCCCCATGCCATACAGTAGTAAAATTTTAAAATATTATTCACCAAAAAATTGTACTACAAAGGCAATTTAAAACATTGTCAGCAATGCTAGCCAGGCTTAGAGACATACATCTTAGAGAAACGTGAGCACTGCACCAGGCTACACGTGAAAAAGTATCCACAGCAGCAGTGTTCATTACAGCCCCCAAACTAGAGACCATTCATATGTCCATCAACAGTAGAACAGGCAGACTGTGGTACATTCATAAAATGGAATCTTATACAGAAAGGAAAGTGAGTGAATTGCAACTGGTTGCAGAAACGTGGATCACTGTGTTTAATGAAAGATGCTGAACACTTTAGAATCTTTTTGACTATACTCTCCATAAAATTTAAAGAAAGGCAAGAAAACCACACTGTATTGTTTAGTGATGCAAATGTAACAGGTAAAACTATTAAAAAAAAAGCTAGGAAGTAGGTACCACGAAAGTCAGCAAAGTGATTGTGTGTGTGTGTGTCTGGATGGGACGTGTGGCAAGGTGGGTGGGTGCTTCTAGTGTCCTAGCAATGTTCTATTTCTTGACCTGCATAGTGATTACATGGTTTTTACTTTTTATGTATTAGTTAAATTGCACATTTATGTTTTATTAACTTCTCTTATATGTTATATTTCAAGATAAAAATGTTTTAAAAAATATGATTTCTGAGGTACCACTAAGATGTTTATGTCAGGACATGTTTCCACAATGTTATTTTTGGTGTCTAGGCAACACTTAACATTTTTTATGACTTTTCGGAGAGATGGTACCACATGTGAAACATTTTATTTTGAAAACTAGCACTTCATTTTCTACTGCTTCGCCTACTAATTCAATAAATATTTGTTCAATCACTTATAGTGTTTCTCATGCTTCAAGGACTAAGATATGAAGATGAGTTTGGGATAGTCTCTGACTTCTTGGTTTTACAGTTTAGTCAAGTAGGGTGGTAGTCATCTGTCCTGGAAAGAAATATGATAAAAGCGCTTTGAGGAATTTGAAGGAAGGAGACATTACATTTGGGGGGATGGAAATAGGTAAGGTGTATGGAAGATATAGTATTAAAAATGGACTTTGGAGAAGGTTATGACAAGTTAAGTGGAGAGACAGGGCCTTTTAGGTGAAGGAGATTTCATGAAAAGACTTGTATAAGTAGTAATCAAAAGAATTGTTCAGGAAATAGAGAGTAATCAGTTGGATTAGGGGGAGAGTTACATGAAGATTAATAGAAAGAGGTAAGAGTGGGTAGGAATTTTGAGTCCAAAGCATGAAGGGCTTGACTATCATGTTTAAAAGTTTGGACTTGACTGATTAGGCAATGGGGAACCCACTGAAAGTATTTGAAAGGTCTTAGTAAAATTAACCTGAAGTGTGTAGGATGATGGAGTTAGAAGTAGACATCAGGTAATGATAGTAGCCCAGAAGAGGAGTGATAAAGGCAATAGAAATGGAAAGAAAGTGGCTATAATTTAAGAGCCACTGTGGAGATAAGATCTATACAGTTTTTCAGTGTCTTAGATGCTTGGAAGTAGAAGGGGTAGATGGAGGGATGGAAGGCAGGAGGAAATCGAAGATGATACCAGGTTTTGTAAGGGTGACTGGGAGTAATGGCACTGTTTACAGGAATAAGGATTTCAGGAAAAGGTACTGTTGTGTACCTTCGAAGGTGAAGGAGAAGACGGTGCATTTAATTTTGGAAATACTAAATTAGAGTACCATGGAATAATCAGGAAGGAAATCCAGCAAACATTTGGAAATAATATTTAAATATATGTCTATATCTGTAGCTATATCTATCTATCTATACTTTAAAATCTACTCAACCCTTTGAAAATATTTGTAATCCAGTCCTCTTAAGAACTCTGAGATGTTCCCATATTTAGCAATGTCAAAGTTGTAAATGGTACAGCCAGAACTGAACTTGGATTTACACATGTCAAATTCCTGGCTGTGTCCATTGTTTCCTCACTGCTTCCTGTAAATGCTTGTTAACTAGGGAGAGTTCTGGGCTGTAGATGCAGATTATGTCAGTTACATGTAAGCACTGGGAAGCGTTCGGGAATGTAAGGAGAGGGCTGAAGAGAGATTATTAGAGGATCTCTCTCTTTAGGGGATAGGATGAGGAACAAAACCTACAGAAGGAAGAATCAGGGAGGGAAGAATCAGGTGGCAGGGCAGCAAGGACGCAGTAGCTTGAAAACCAAAGGAGCAAAACGGTCCAAGCAGAAAGAGCTTGTCAGCACTGCTGAATGCGGCTGAGAGGGTAAGGACTCTAAAGGCAGACGAAAGTCTTTGTAGTTTGATGATGAGGAGGTCAGTGGAAATCTTTGTAAAAGAGATTTCCATAGAGCAGAAGCAGAGTATTTCAAGGGTAAGAAGCAACTGCAAGAAGCATAAACTACTTCAAGAAGCGTCATGGAGAAGGGAAAGAGATAGAATAGGGTGGCATTTAGAAAGAGTAGATGGACGTGGGCAGAGCAGTGAGGGAGGATAGACACGGGTACCTCTACATGTCTACGGGCAGAGGAGCTGTAGAGGGGAGATATGGATGAAGCCAGAGAGAGGATGATGAATGGCATAAGGTGCTAGTAGAGGCACGAGGTCAAGAACATGATTGGGAGGGTACTCAGAAAAGCGGAAGAAACAGTGTGAAGGTTTAATAGGTATTGTGGAGATAAAAAGGAATGACTGACAGAGGCCAATTCAAATGGCCATGCATGGGGAATCATACATACACTGAAGCATCTTATTATACATCTGTTTTCTGTGGGATGTTGTGCATATCTCTCCTCCTAAAGAGTGAAATACCTCAGAGGACTGACCCGTTGCTTTCTCTTTTAATAGACAGAGGGTTAGGCACCTCTGCACAGCAGGTCAGATTCTTGTTGACTGATGGACACAGAGCTTGGCATTGACATACTGCATTGGAGTCACATTTTTGTAACACGAAGAATTCCTTAATGGTGTGGACTTTTTCCAAAAACATTAATGGGATTGCCAAATTTTCTATTTCAGTATTATTTGAATGGAAGCTATTTGACCTATATAAAATGTGGCCAACACCTGGCCACTTTTGATACGCAAAAACAGCAACTTCCAATGCTTCCACCTTATACAAAACCTAGCTGGAGAACACCAAACACAACAAGCGACTTCTCTTTCTTTACCCATATAAAATCCCTTTTTGCTTGGAGGCTGAGAATGCTTCCATCCATAATTCAGTGGATTTTTTTTTTCGTGAATGCAGCCCCAGTAAGACAAACAGTAGCCCCTCCCCAGGACCCTCCCATGTTAATGACTTTTATCTGTAGGGCAGCTATTCAGGGTGAGGGTTGACAGACCAATCAGACAAAGCTAAGTCTAAGAGCTCATTTACCCATGACATTAACCTCATCTGACCCCATATTCTAATAGGATTCATCAGTCTTTATATATTTATTTAAAAAATTAATTAGGACAAGGTATACATTTGCTAAACAATGCAATTGGTCAGTTGATCATCCATCATTTAATTAATTTCCTTCATTTTTCCCTCTGTATTTGTAATGACAGATAGCAGGCTTCCAAAATTTTTTTCAAGTTACTTCCTGATATATATGTTTTTCACATAAAAACTGTGGCTCTATACAAAAGTTGTGCTTAGGAAGAGTTTAAATTTAGAAGAAATAATTATATAACCCAGTTTGGGTAATGGTTTAAATGGGGTATGGAAAGGCTTGAAGCTTCCCCTTTTTGAACCTTGGTTATTACTCTCCTTTTCCCAGGCCTTTCATCTTACTCACTAGCGAAAAAAGAAAAGACAAAGAGAGAATTTGCAGTGGTCTGACTTATTGCACAATGTAAGCCCAGTTTCCCCATACACAAGCCAAACACATGGTTCACAGACACAAAGCACAGACACTTGAGAATCACACTCAGACACCTGAACAGGACACCAGCCAACAGTCCCCAAAGGGCCCCACCAGTGAACCTAGTCATTAACGTCTGCCAAGCCCGTCTAGTGGGCATTGATTACCCAGCAACTGGTCCCAGTAACCTCCTGCAGGCCACCTCTTACCCCAGCAAGTCCCATATCTGATCTTTACCTTACACTACCCAATGTCTTTTGAGACATGAACCCCATTCAACTCAAGCCAAGGTTTATTAAGCACCCCGTTGAGCTGAATGCTGCACCCTTTTCATGTATTAGCCACAGCCTTGGTCACACTGATTCTAAGCTCTTTTAGTTCCCCTATTGTCCAAGTCCCTTCACTAACTCCATCCAGTCTCTTTAAAGCAGAAGTTTTTAACTTGGGTCCACGTGGGGGGATGAAAAGATTCACAAACTTGGGGGGGAAAAAAACCTACATCTTTATTTTCACTAATCTTAATGGAAATTTAGCATTTTCTTCAGTCATGAATGTAGACAATAAATCATAGATATTTTCACATCACACCACATCTATTGCAGATATCTTGAAATATTGTTCATACTCATTACGACTTTGAAGTTTGGTGGTTAATAGACCACCTCCAGATCTTCTTATGTAATACATAAATAATGAAGCAAATAAACGACTACATCAAAATTTACTTGAAAGTATTTCAATAACCCTATTTCAATATGATTGATTTTCCCTATAATCGTATACATTTTAATTCACACATTTAAAAATTATTCTAAGTTGGGGTCTGTGGGCTTCACCAGATGCTAAGAGAACCCAGAGCACTAAAAAGTAGCTGCTACCTGCTCTGTCTGCTCTGAGACTATTTCATTCCTTCCCCAGTTCATCTGTTCACGCATCTCCCCCCAAGCTTCCCCTTTCACCATCCTGTTCAACCATGTACAAATGCCCCTGGGCCAGCTGAGGTCCTTCCACTTGCCCCTCAGCAGAGCCAAGTGAACCTTCCTGCCCCTTTCTCAGGCTCTTAGTAGTCACTTCCCACTTCACCTCACAGATGAAGTCCAGAACCTTCTTTTAGGTTAGCCTAAAACTCCTAAGTGCTCTCATGACACTTCCTTCCATCCGGTCACATCCCCAAGGCACATTTATCTAGACAAGTTCTAACATCAGGCATCACCTCTCAGTCTGAGGAGTTAAGCCTCTTCCTATCTCCAGGGATGAGTTAGCCCAAGAACATAAGGTTTTTACTGAGTTAGCCCAAGAACTTAAGGTGGAGGCAGGGCCAGCAAAATCAGCAGCTCTGGCCACACACACAAATGTAAAAACCAGTGGGATCAGATTCATGGGACTCAACCTCACATTGCACCTCCTGGAACTCAAGGGTGTCTAGGTAGCCAAGAACATCATCAAAAGTCAAAAATGATTGCCAGCACCAGAGATGTGTGGCATGGTTTTTCCTGTAGAGACCAAATTGTCCCATTTTATCATCCAACAGTCTCCATTTGACTAGCTCCTTGACAACAGTAACCTACAGAATGATGACACTTACTCAGAAAGAGAAAAAAAGATGCCACTCGTGGGAAGCGTGCCATTTGGACCAGCAGAGACCTTTCCTGGTGGTGTCACTGAAGTTGCTCAGACGCTGAGTGACAAATGTTGCGCTCTCACTACAAAGATAAAGAGGAAGCGATGGTGCGGTTTCCAGCCCACTGAGAAACAGAGACGGCTTACCAAGAGCAATACAGTCTGCTTTACATGGCTCTTTGCTAATCATTCACATTTACCTACTTATGAAGTTATTTTCATGGGTAGGTAAACATAGATAGATAAAAATAAGAAAAGACGAGCCTCCTCCTGGTTAAATACATATCATTAGGTAATGATACGGGAATTTAAGTAAACAGAATAAATAATCAAGCAGCAATTTTCTCTTCTTAGCCCTTACCTCGCCTCCCATCGTGGCAGAGGAAAGGACTGAGAAACGAGAGAAGCGCCCTTAGGAGACATGAACCTGGGGAGACATGCAGTGACGGTGATGATAACACACTCTAGGTGGGTGTGCCTGGGTCTGCACAGACTGTATTTTTAATAGTTGATCTTAGAACAGTGAATTAATCTTTTCTAACCCTCATCGACAAAATGGAGATACTGACAGTATGTGCCCCGTAAGATTGCTGTGAGAATTGAATGAACTAATTCACTGAAAGCACTTAGAACAACATCTAGTACATAGAAAGTGCTCAATGCATATCAGCGACATTTAAGGGAATCTTCATCTGCCCAGCATGGGCCTGGGCACCAAGGATGGTGGGGGAGTGACTTCGCAGACTAGGATTAAGTTAGCCTGGCCCCGAACCCAGGCCAACTTAATCCTAGTCTGCGAAGACAAGAACATACACGGGACGAGCTTACTGAGGACGTTAGTTCCCCAGGCCGAGCCTCCATTTAGATGGGTCAGTAACAGCCTAGTCTGCTTCAGGCCACAGTTACGGCAGATCCCTGTTCCATCCACCTTTCCAACAATTTTTTTTAATCTTCTGGGTGCTATTGTAAGTGCTGCACATACGAAGCCTTTGTTCTCAGGAAACTTCCGTTTACTCAGATAACCACAAGGTAATTTTGGAAGCACATCAGTGGGGCACCTGAAGGGAGTGGGGGGAAGTGAGTGGGTGGGAGGGAGGGTCAAGATTGGCTGGGCCACATGAGACAACCAGGGAGGAAGGGGGACCGAGGTGCAGTTGGGGAGAAACAGTCCAGCATGGATAATGACACACCAGCTGTGCCCTCCTTTTGGAGTAAAGTTTGAGGCTGGTGTGAAGGGAGAAGAAGGTGCATTCAGAAAAGGCTGGTTTTCTTTAGGTCCTTGGAGATCTGGTATGATTCGAATAGGCAGAGAAGAGAGAAGAAAGGACATTCCACTAGGGAGGAATGAAATGTATAAAGGTACCGAGGCAGGGATGTACAGGCTGTATTTAGGGAACAATTAAAGGGCAGTTTACCTAGAATGGCAATTTCAAACTACCTCTCCAGGCCATTAACCATAATATCAGTGGGGCTTGAAGTACAAGAATTTTTTCACCATTGCAGTTGGAGAAGGCATGGGTCACCCCCCAGGCACCAAAATTTACTGTATCGGTTAGTTATTGCTGTATAACAAATAGAAAACTTTGGTGGCATACAGCAGTAAAGATTTAGTTTTGTTCACAAGCCTATGGGGTCAGCCGATGGGAGCTGGATGGTCTAGGATGGCCTTAGCTTGGATCCCTCTCACAGCCCTTGAAAAGGCTAGCCTGGGCACATTTTCACAGTGATGTCAGGGGTCCAAAAGGACTAGGGGAAACACATCAGTACTTTTTAAAGCTTCTACTTGCATCATGACTGCATGCCTTCTACAAGCATCCCTCAGATGAAAGCAAGACACATGGCCAAGTCCAAAAGCAAGAGATGGGTTAATGGACTCCATCTCTTTAGTGAAGGGAACAGCAAAGTGGCAAGGCAAAAGGAGAGGTAGAGAACGGGGGCCATCAATGCAATCAATCTGCTACGTGCACTGAGAAGAGAATTATTTTAGAAATAAGCATTGACCACAGAGACAATCATTGGCAATACTACAGAGGACGCTGTATTCCTGAAATACATACAACTAAGTAAATGCTATGCAAGTTCTCATTCTTGGCTGTTGCCAAGTTTTTTTTTTTCTTTCTATTTTCGTGGCTCCATTTCTGCCAGAATTTAACATTGACAGGGTGATGTCGCTTCTTTTCTGGAGGGAAAAAAAAGAAGCTTTCTGTTATCAAGGGGAAAAGAAAAAAAGAAGAAAGAAAAAAATAGAGCCAGTGAGAGAGACAGTTATTCTATTACCTTGGGAACCACTGCAGTGCATTGCAATTTTATCAGTTGAAAGGAATGTAAAAATAGAGTTCCTGATTCAGATGGAGGGAGAAGGCCAGTGCTGGACAAAGCAACACAAGGATGTACTAAAGAAAAAAAATCCTTTCTGAAGTTCCTAGAAGATTAATGAAAAGTGATGTCTTTTTTTCAGGTTCGACATGCTCAAATATTAATTCCATAAAATTATAGAAATTGCAAGTATCGTGGATTCCTAAGCATTCAGGCCCAAGAAATATTTAAACGGGTACCTTTTACATGTCAGGTTCTGTGCAAGGCATTTTCACATATGCACTGTTATAGAATAACTCACATCACTATGTGATAGGTATTACTAATACCATTTCACAGGTGAGAAAACTGAGGCTCAGAGGAATCAACTAACCTAGCCAAGACTGTATGGCTAGGAAATGGGTGCATTCTATGGCTGCCTTCTTACTTGTGGCTCAGTGCTCTTTCTATTAGCTCGCCATTCGCAAGCTTTCAGAAGGCAGAATATGTAGGACAGTGAGTGACTGCAGGATGGAAAAGAAAACCCCGAAGGGGTCAGCAGGAAGCTGATCAGGATTTTGCCCCTTTTTCTACCTGAGCTCCTATAATTCAGGTCAAAGTGATCGATACCCCACAGGTGTGGGGCTTGCCAAGGTGTAAGGAAGCCCTGGGGCTAAGCCTCGTTTCTCTATGTATGGAACACCAAGCAGTGACACCACAGGTAGGGATCACAGCGAGCTCAGTCAATCCCTCATAGAACAGTGGAAGAAACGGCATCCTCAAGCGGGCCTGGTTACAACTTGGCCCACCAAGCTGTACTTCCCACCAGCCTGGCTGTACCAGGAGCTGACAGTTAGTTAGCCAAGGCTAAGAGCTTTTCCACGTGTGTGGTAACTCCTCCTGTCTGTGGGGAAAAGCCTGAACTAGATTCCTGTGGGCAGAGGCAAAGGCCAGAGCATGGGAAGAGGGGTGGAGAAGGAGGTGGGGACTAGAGGATGGTGGCAGCAGAGAAAGAGCAACAGATGGGATTCCCGGGCCATTTGCTGTTTCCGAATACTCCCTTGGGAAGAGCTACTTCTTAAATTCCCTATTAGGGAGTAGCTGACAACGAACTCTGATTTTAAAAAAAGGAAGGGAGGGCTCAGAATAGGTCCCAAAGAAAAGAAGGAAGGAGAATAGGAAGTTCACTTTACCTGGGCTTCGGGTACGGGTGGACCCCTGAGATACAGTTGCCCCCTCATGGCTTCCTTGGCCCATAACGCAGCTCAGGTGCCTCCTACCCTATTAAATAGCTACATTTTCACCCTAGTTTCAAACCGCCCCCTCTTCCTTCCCCTCTTCAAATGTGGGACAGTTTCCCGGTGTTCTGTATTCTGCTTGGTTTCCTAACTTGCTGGTACTTCGGCCCACCACGATCTGGGCTTGGTTCTCCCCAAACATCCAAGGTCACAGCGGCGGACACTGCTCAGCTCTCCCTTGATTTGGTCCTTCTGGGGCACAAGGGAGGACCGACCGTTGGCAAATCTGCTTGGAATTCTTTACTACCACCTCTGATACCACGCTCTGGCCGGGATTTTCTCTCTCCCCTTTGGAAGTTCCTTCTCAGTCGTCTTCTCGGTGGACCCCTTCTCCAGGCTCCTGTCATCAGCCCTTTGCTCCCCTCGCTGCTTCCGCCTCTCATGCCCCACCTGTATAAGGACAATCACCGATCTGTCTCCACCCGCAACTTCTCCCTTAAGCTCCAGGCCAATTATCTAGCTGTGTCGAACGTTCCCACTTGAAGGTCCTGCAGAAAACTTAAATTGCGTCCAAAGCTGAGATCACTGTTTCCTTCTTCACTGGTATTTTCCACCGTGGTGACTGCACCAGCATCCACCCAGACCCACGGCTGGCCTCCACACTCCATATCTAGTTATAAAGTCCTACCAGTTTTTCCTAAAATCCTTAATGAATGCATTCTACCTGCTGCTGTCGCAATTGAGAGCTGCGATTTTTCACCTGGATTAATGCAGTTCAGTTCATCTTCCAACCTTGTCTGCACCCCGGCCCCTTCCACCAGAGTAATCTAAAGTGCAAACAGAGCCATGCACTGTCCCGATTAAAGGTTTTCAATGGCTCCCCCAAACTTCTAGACGATCAAGTCCAAACTCCTTGACTTGACCTTTACGAGCTGACCCTTGAGAACTCTCTCCTACCACCTCACCCTTCAGACACAGAACCTCTGTATTTCTCTGAGTGTATCTTACCATCCTCTCTCTTTAACTTTGTATATGCTATCCCCTCTGCTTAGAGCCCGCTCTACCTGGTATATGCCTATTCATTAAAAAAGTTTTAAATCTAGGTTTGCACCTCCTATGCGAAACCTTTCTTGACACCTTAGAAAGTTCACCATTCCCTCTTCTATCTCTGTCAGTGAACTCCTATAATTTTACTTACTATATGTAATAAAGTGATTTACATGTCTCCCTCTCCTGCAAGACCATGAATTTCCTAAGGGCAGGGGCCAGTTCTTACTCATCCTTCTATCTCTTCAAAAAATACTGAATGGCTCAAATAGTCAGGCACTGTAGCTGGTATAGTGATTTAGAACACGTACAGACTTTGGAGTCAGAAAGACCTGCATTCAAATCTCGAGCAAATTAGTTTCTTTAAGTCTCAATTTCCTCATCTATAAGAATAGGGACAGTAACAGTAGAAACTCATAATTAGAGCTGTTAGTTGATCAATTAACAGAAAAGTCAGGTGAAGACAGGAATCATAAAAAGACACTTAAATTTCTTAACAGTTTTATTTTCAC